CCTTTGATGAGCAGAAGCTTTTTAATTTGATTCTTGATATTAATTCTTGTGCTTTAGGAGTCTTGTTAAGATAGTCAGATCCTAGGCTAACATGATGAAAATTTGGGCCTACTTTTTCTTCTATTGGGTGCAGGGTCTCTATTCTAGTGCCTAAGTCTTTGATCTACTTTGAGTTTTGTGCAGGGTGAGAGATAGGGTTTTAATCTCATTTTGCTACATGTGGTTTTCCAGTTTCCCCAGCACCATTTGTTCTGAATAAGCTCTCTTTTCTCCAGTGTATGTTTTTGGTGCCTTTGTCAAGTATGAGATAACTGTATTTATGTGGGTTAGTCTCTGTGCCCTCTATACTGCACCATTGGTCTACATGTCTATTTTGGTGCCAATACCATGCCCTTTTTATTACTATAGCTCTGTAGTATAGTTTAAGGTCTGGTATTGTGATGCCTCCTGCATTACTTTTTTCACTAAGGATTGCTTTGGCTATTTTGGGCCTCTTACTTTTACAAATGAATTTGATGATTGCCTTTTCTAGTTCTATGAAGAATGTCATTGGGATTTTTTTTAATATTTATTTTTTAGTTGGACACAATACTTTTATTTTGTTTATTTATTTTTATGTGGTGCTGAGGATTGAACCCAGGGCTTCACACGTGCAAGGCAAGCACTCTGCTGCTGAGCCACAACCCCAGCCCTCATTGGGATTTTAATAGGAATTGCATTAAATCTGTATAATGCTTTTGGTAGTATGGCCATTTTGACAATATTAATTCTGCCTATTCAAGAGCAAGGAAGATCTCTCCGTCTTCTAAGGTCTTCTTCAATTTCTTTCTTTAGTGTTCTGTAGTTTTCTTTATAGAGATCTTTCACCTCTTTTGTTTGATTGATTCCCAAGTATTTTATTTTATTTTCTGAGGCTACTGTGAATGGAGTAGTTTTCCTAATTTCTCTTTCAGTGGATTCATCACTGATATATAGGAACATAATTCACCACATCAATGGATTTAAAGACCAGAATCATATAATCATCTCAACAGATGCAGAAAAAGCATTTGACAAAATCGCAACACTTCATGCTGAAAACACTAGAAAAACTAGGATAATAGGAACGCACCCCAACATTGTAAAAGCTGTCTATGCTAAGCCAAGGTAAGATCATTCTAAATGGAGAAAAAATGAAGGCATTCCCTCTTAGAAACTGGGAAAAGACAGGGAGACAGGGATGCCCTCTTTCAACAGTCCTTGAAACTCTAGCCAGAGTAATCAGACAGACAAAAGAAATTAAAGGGATGCGAATAGGAAAAGAAGAACTCAAACTATCACTATTTGCTGATGATATGATTCTACATTTAGAAGACCTAAAAAATTCCATCAGAAAACTTCTAGAATAAATAAATTCAGCAACTTAGCGGATATAAAATCAATACCCACAAGTCAAACATGTTCCTATACATCAATGTTTACATTTTTCTGGAGAAAACCTTGAGAAAAAAAACATCCTAAACTTGAATGAGAACTATTAGCCAGATTTGCTTCTGCAGGTGTTACGTTATGCAGCAAGAAGTCAAAATCCCGTACAGGATATTTCTACAATGTTCACAGTACACAGCTCACAGTTGGAAACACCTAGTGAATCAGATTTTCAAAAATGGTGAGTCAGGAGCAAAATACCACAAAACAGGACCAAGGCCGGGAAGGAGAGACTCACAGCTGCTTGGCCTGCCAACCCGGCGAGGGGCCCATGGGGACACAGCACACATGATGACAAATTGGGGCTGAGAAGAGCAACACTGACACCTGACAACCTGGGCCTAGACAAAGGCATCTCAAACTAAGACAGAGAAAACCCTCTTTGTGGAAATCCTATCAAAGCTTGTGTAGAGCCAGCTGTCAACAGATTACAAACACAGCCTCCAAAATCCGGTCCCCACGAGGCCACTCCAGCTCTCAGAAGCTGACCTGACACGCTCTCGCTGGACAGTCTGTCCACGGGCATCCCCATCAGACACTGTGCCTGAGTGTTCCAGAAGCTGGAGGCTGCTCCACCCCTACGTCATGGAGCTGCGCTGGTGGGCACAGGGCCACACCACCTGTGGTGCTCACTCAGAGGTGGAGCTGGCCAGAGTCCTGGTGTGCGGCAAGTACAAATGCACTGGGCTCCGAAGGCTCTGTACCAGATAAGGGCGACGGTATCCCAGTCTTCTCTGTTCTGATTCCACATTGTGATGAGATTCTGGACACGGAGCGGGGAGTAAAGAATTTGGCCTGGACCAAAGAGAGCACTGGCCTTGCCCTCAGCTGCTGGGCAAGGACACCTGAGAGCTGAGGACTGTCTTTGTTTAGGGTGGGGGGGCCCATGATGGATCTGAATGGGGCCGGCCACACCCAGTAGTCCCAGGGTTGGGGCTGGCCATGCAGAAAGGCTGACGTGGTGATTTCAAGTGAGGACTTAGGTCTAGTGCTGTCAGTTAATCTGGAGACTGAGTCCAGACAAGGGGCGAGAGGCAGTCTGTCTTGCCCACATTTCATTGCCCAATGAAACTGGGGACAATGAACTCAGGTGAGCATCCTGGATTGGCCACACTCCACGTGTCCCATCGCGCCTTCCTGCCGCTGGTGTGAGGAGGGAGGCCAGCCTTGGGGACTGAAGGCTCTGTACAGTCAGGAGCAATGTGGCTTGCGGGCAGCAGCAAGACAGAAGCACCAAGATTAAGTAGACATCTTTCTGGTTGCTTTTTAAATGCAGCTACTGGAGAGTTTTCAATCACACCTCTGGCAGCACCATGTGTCTGTCCAACAGGACTGGTACCAACAGCACCTGTGTTGCTGGGTGCCTTCATTTAATGACCTTTTTAAGTGCCATTTGAGAAAATATGAGTTTTACCCTGGATTTTAATGCTTAGAACTACAATTACCTACATAAACTCTACACACAGGATCATCCTCTCTTCTGAAATCACAAAAAGAAATAAGAAGCCAATGCCATAAGTTTTTCTAATCTGGGTTTACTGAAATTAAATTCTGGTTTGATGATAACTAGGTAAGATCAACGAAACTGCAACCGGAGGAGCCCAGCCTGCTCACTGAGATAGAATACAAAATTAAAACCCAAAGCAGGCAATTCTGCACTGAAGGCATAAGTGAATGGATCAAAATCTGTATCACTGAATAAGAAACCTTTATATTAATTCTACAATTAATTACTGACAAAAATAATCAAATAAAGGTATTGAGCTGAGTTGTATCAAAAAATCCACCCACCCACAAAAAGGTGTATCAAAACACAGCTTCACATTCAAATTTAATAAGCCTGCCGCTTTAAGTCACAGACACAAATTAATCTCTTTTCTGATGAGCAATAGTGTAGTGCCTCTCGCATCCTCATCCACGACCTTTGCTGCCTTCTGGGTGTGTCTTCAAGTGTGTGCCCTGTGCTTGGTGGAGGCTCCCCAAGGATTGCAGCGGGTGTGGTGGGGCTGACTGACCCTGTTGGGGAAGAGTCTGCTGAACTCTGAGATGTCGCCTTCTCCTTAATAAAGGTGGCTGGCTTCAATTCTAATCTTTGCTTGAAAATTCACATTTGTCGTTGGCAACCTATAACGCCTGCCACTCGTTTTTCTGGAAGGGATGGGAACAATCTGCTGGGCATTGAGAAAGTGTCTGGGGAACGTCTGAGGAGCCGTGGTTCATCCCCAGTCGGTCTGCCCAGGGAAAGGCGGGCTCACAGGCAGCAAACTCAGCTTGCAACTCAGCCAGCCAGGAAGGGCCTCCTCTGAGCACACTGTCACACGCCCTCAGGAAGCCAAAGGGGTGCTGTGGACATGCTTTCTCTTTCATCCCAAGACTTGCAAACATGCACTAAGGTTGGTGCTTCAAGGTTGTCCTCAGAATCGCTTCAGTGAGGAATTATGTGATGCTGGGTAAGTGGGTGGTGGTGACTCACCTTGCTGTCCCCACTCACCTTGCTGTCCCCACAGTACAGAGGGCCAAAGATCCCTTAGCATTATCAGAGAGCGGGATTGACCCCATCTGGGGGTGACTAGCTTAAGGAGGCTGAGTGAATGTCAACCAGGGACAGGATAATAAGCTAACAGCCAGGGCACTTGGCTAAAGCCTCCCCAGACTCCAGGGCTGCGGGGATTCACCAGCTGCAGGGTTCATCTGTTTTTGTTGCTAATTCTGAGCTTGACAATTAATGAATCTGCGAAAAAGTGCAGCCTGAGTCCTGGCCCAGGGGGTGTGTTGACAAGGGCTCTGTCCTCGCCCCTGGGCAGCCCTCTCCAGGGCCTGGGTTTTGAGAACTGGAGTTGTGTAAGGATGGGCAGAAGCCCACGGAGTCCTACCAGAGGGGGTTGCACCTGCCCATGGGAAGGGCGTGGGCCCTGTGCAAACCCACAGGCTGGGACAGGGACTGGCTGCTGGCCCACCACCAGGGAACAGCCCTGCCCACTAGAGGAGACTGGGCATGGCCTTCTTTTTGCAGGCACCCATCTCTGCTGCCTTTCCTTCCCCCCTGAGGACTCTGCCAGACTCCCCCCAACTCACTTCACCTGCCCCAAGTCAGAAGGAATATGAAGTCAATAAATAAATTAACCTGCGGATCTGCACAGTTCTGACTCTTTAAAGCTTTCTAATCAATAGCCCTGGGAGGCTCCCTCTGCACCTAAGGTTGTTACTCAGGGATACGAGGCTGCCGCAACATTTAGAGTGCAGCCTGTAAATCTCCCAATCTGAGATCATAAAAGAAAATAGACAAAACATTAAAAGATTTGACTACTGGGCTGTTTTGTCATTTGATGATAACATAAAAAAAATCAGTGAAGTTTTGAGAGGATCTGCACGTAAAAAAAAAAAAAAAATCCATGTATGGGAAACATAATGCACTGTTGTGAGCCCTGAGGCACTGTCAAGAGGACCCTGTCAACTCCAATCAGACTGCATTCCAGCCCCCCAAGGCTGCGACTCACCCGCACAACCAAAGACAACACCAGATAAACACGTACCCACTGCGTCTGTGCCATCTCCTTCATCGACTCCGTGAAGGCGACAGCAAATCTAGTAAATGAACAAAAATAATGGAGACAATTAGGCCAGAATTCAATTAACAAAACTGTGAAACAGCTCCTCGGAACAAATGATGAGAGACAGGGTAAGGCACTGAATTTAAAGTGCAATCAATCTTTATTACTTGTGGTCACTGACCATTAGGTTCACACTCCACTCACATCAAAAAAGTTGCTTGTGGAAGAAGTAAACCAAATGATGCTCAAAACTTCCTATTTTTCTTATTAATTCCATGCAAGGTCAGAGAAACAGGGGTAGAATTAAAGCCAGCAAGCCAGGTGCAGGAGAGAAGCAGGGCACTTGGCTAAAGCCTCCCTGAGACTCCAGGGCTGTGGGGATTCACCAGATGGACAGGAACACCTACGTGTTATTTTATTGGATTTGTGCATTTGTTTATTTACTTTTTTTTAACCAGAGATTGAACCCTGAGGTGCTCTACCACCCAGCCCTTTTAATTTTTTTTTTTTTTTTTATTGTGAAGCAGGGCCTTGCTAAGCTGCGGAGGTTGGTTGGTCTCAAACTTGTGATCCTCCTGCCTCTGCCTCCCAAGTCACTGGGATCGAAGATATGCACCATTATGCCCGGCACATCTACATTTTGATACAGTTAAATACTTCTTCAGCAAATGTGCAAGGGGATTTTAAGCTAAGAATGAGAAGACAAGGTGTTCATGAAGTTCTTGTTTGTCATGAAGTACAGAAATATTAACAGATACCTCTTAATGGAAATGAATACCACATTCCTAGGTGGGAAGGATATGAAGATGTTCCTTTTCACCAAGTGAGATGAGAATTCAATAGCAGTGCAAAGGGCATCCTGGCCCATCGCCAGCTACTGCTGTTCACCCAGGGAACAGGGCTTCAAGGAAGGCTGCCGCATGACCAGGACCAAGAAGACCAGAATTCCTGGAGGGCTTCATCCCAGAGGGCACCTTGAGTCAAAGGCTCGGGAGACCATGGTGGGCACTGGAGGCCGTCCATCATTCCTGCCTGACAACGTCACTATTCCAGGCAAGCAGGCAGTGTGCCCCCTCTGAGGGTGCCCTGTTTCCGCCCTCCTCAGAGAGAACGCTCTAGTGTGTGGAGCCCTAAGGCCCTGGGCCAGGAAGGAACTTGAAGACAGCAGCCCTCTTGTGAAAGGTGTCCAACAAGGACCCTTGCACCTTGGTTGAATATTGGGTTTACCCACTTTGCCTTGTGATTCTGTTTGTTGAAAACATCAGTAGTCAAGACTACAGCTCAGAAAACTACAGGTGGAATTACCAGTATTTAGCTAGTGCTGACCTACCAAACAGCAGAGCCACGGCGTTAACCTAGGAGGTGCAGTTTTCTAATCATGAAATGACTTTTATGCCACTTCATTTCATGTCAACCCTCTCTTGATCATTGATTTAACAATATTTTCCCCAATAGCTTTCTGAATGATGCTCCATGAAATGATTTCCACAATTTTGCGGATACTTTTCATTTAATTTTGATATTTATAAAATAATTGCCAAATTATTACTATATTATAATATTTACAAGCTGAAGATTGATGCTAAATTAAAATTGTACATTATACTATATAGAAAAAAAAGGCTAACATATGAAAGAAAATGTTTGAGCTATTCCCTATAGAAAAAATGCACTGATTTAAGAATTATTTGATGGAAGATGAGACACCACAGAGTTAGGCAAGGTCCAGGCTTTGCTTTATAGAACAGGGACTCTGGTGTCAGCCAAGACCTGTTTGATGCCTGCAAATTTCTTGCCCACTAACCTCAATCAATGACCCCCAAATAAAAATCAAAATTGTTTTAATAACAATGTAATGAATAATACTAATGATAATACCATTAAGATGGTATTAGTATTAGTTCTAGTAAACAGAATTATTTTTCTTCTTTAAAACTGTGTGTTAAAAACCACATGATTCTAGAGGTAATAAGTGTTTGGAGCATGAGACCACCACAGAGAAACCCTGTAGGACGGCTTCCCTTCAAGGCAGCCCCCAAGGGTCAGCGCCTTCGTCCACTGAGGGTACACATGAGCATGCACTCAGAATGTGGGTCTCCATTTTCAACAGGCTGCATTTCCATCCACTTGGGCTCAGCAAGTCCTCAAGAATAACAGGGTCCCGGCATTCCCTGGCCCAAGGGGTGTCCAAAGACTGCACCCACATTACACAAATAGGCTGCCCTGGGGGGTTGGGGGTGACCCAGCTACATAAACACACAAGCATTCCAACCTCCCCAGGGCTCGACAGCCAGCAGACGTCATGATGAGCTACAGAAAACTGACAACTGGTGATTTATCAGGCTAAAAACCGATTATCCGGTTGAGTTTTCTTTTGCTTTTACAGTGACATGAAGATTAAAAACAGTGGAAAGGACCCGCAGGCAGTCCCTGGATATGGGGTTGCTCTACAGAGGTGAGCCTTTCTCAGGGCAGCCAGTGGGGGCCTGGGAGGCCTAACGGCACAGGCCCGGCCTCCTGGATCCCACAAAGCCTGACACTCGCCTCAAAATGTGTCGTTAACTTAGCCCTCTATGTGTACATGTGCACATTCACTTCTTTCAATTAACCTCCTCTTTCTTCCAAGTTGGCATGGAACAGTGGAAGGCACCTATTGCTGCTCTAGGTCTGGCTCCTCGTATAGCTCTGTAGCATTCGTTACGCAGAAGGGTCCAACTTACTCCAGGCTGCTGTACAAATACGATTACTGCTAGGGTTTCAATACAAAGTGTCCCCCAAGATTTATGTGTTGAAGGCCTCTCCCTAATGCAGCCATGTCCAGAGGGGAAGTGTGGGGCAGTAAGTGGATGAGGGCTCTGACCCCACTGGTGGTTCATCCATCGATGGATTCGTAATCTGAATGGACTCCTGGGATTGGGTAGAAACTGCAGGAGCAGCTGAAGGGACCCAGCTGAAGGAGTGGGTTCTGGGGGCATGCCCTTAAGGACTTCATCTTGGCCCTAACTGGTCCTCCCTCTTCCATCCCTTGCTTCCTGGCTGCCAAAAGCTGAGCAGCTTTCCTCGGCCATATGTTCTTCCACCACGATATTCTTCTGCCCTCCCTCAGGCCCAGAGCACGGTGCCAGCCAGCCAGACTGAGGCCTCTGAAACTGTGAGCCAGAGTACATCTTTCCTCCTTTAAGTGGTTTCCATCAAGAATTTTGGTCAGTGATGAAAAAAGCTGACAATACAACCATTTTCTAAGTATGCCTTGTTAAAAGACAAAATCACAACCAATTTAAAGACTGTGATGGGCTTTAGTTAGATTCTAGGATCAGAAATGCCTCTGTAAACAAGGCAAGCATTCTGATGAGCTGGGTAGGGTCCATCGGCTTGACAGACAGGAAAGGCCCCCAGCAACTTAGTGAGACTCTAAGCAACTTAATGAGACCCTGTCTCAAATTAAAAAAATAAAAAGGTTTGAGGATGTGGCTCAGTGGTAAAGCACCCCTGGGTTCAATCTCCAGCACCAAAAAAAGGACAATATCACATGTGATCTTTTGAACACCTGGGCAGGAAAGCTCTGGAAGTGATTCCAGCTGAGGTTCTGACCTCCCCACCTGGGGGTAGAAACATGTGCAAGGCTTACTGGAGGCTGCAGAGATGGAGCTGCTATCCACATTCAGCATCTGGGGACAGAGGCTTGTCCCCCAACCCCACAGGACTATGGGATTCCTGGTCCCAGGTCCTCGCAGTGCCACCTTTGAGCAGCACCCCACAGCAGCGGACAGACTTATACTCCTGGTGCTCATGGTATGGCTGGGAGTGGCATGACTGAGCAAAAGACTGAGCTGCGGTTTAGGAATCCAGCAGGTGGCCTGTCTTGCAAAGGATGCACAGAGCTCAGGAAGTGACAGGCAGGAACCCTGCAGGGAGCAGCTGCTGGGACGAACCTGAGGCAAGGAGCACCTCATTCGTGGGCTGATAAAGCAAGAGTTCCCTGTGTCATCTGAGAAGGCAGCAGCTGTCTTTTATGCCACGGGGACAGTCTACAAGAACCCACCCAGTATTAAGTGGAGGCCAAGGGCCCGGAGTCAGGTACCTGAGGATTCACGGCCACACACCACCGTGGCACATGAGGGGAGAGGTGCCGGGAAGCTGGTTGCCTGTGGGTAGACGGGAACTGCCTAACAACTGCTCTGCTCAGTCTTTCAGTGAATCCCATGCAAGTGGGTTCAGTGTGGGACCCGGGAGCTTCTCGGGGGTTACCTGGCTTCCTCGAGCACTCTCCCCATCACTTCGTTTTTTTCCCTGTGGTTGGCATCCTCGTTTAAATCCGTTCCCCCGAAGATGATTCCAAAAGGAATTTGATGACCTGGGAACCGGTGACAGGAAACAGGATTTAGCTTTGGAAACGTCCCCAGCAACCCACCCCAGAGGATGAATGGAAAGCTGCCATTTCAGAGCAAGGGGCTGTACGGAGCGGAGGAGTGGGTCTCAGCCCACAGTGGCAGCTCTGAGATCCGTCACCGGAGATGCCAACCGCTGTGGCCGTGACTGGCTTTTGTTTTTTCAATTAATTTGCTTTAAATTTTATCAGATGAAAAATATTGGTAGCTACCATCTATCAAAGCTAAGTTTATCATTTCTGGGAAACAAGCTCATCTGAGACCATCGAGGTTTGTGACAGAGAAAGGGGCCTCCCAGCTTAGAGCTGTCATTTGTCATCATGCCAGCCAGCGGCTGAGGGGATGTAAGAGACATGATCCCAACCAAGTCCCCAAGCAGTATGCAGCACAGCAGGAGGGATAAATCACAGCCACAGGGCTGCAGTGGGAACCAGGTACCCACAGTGCTGAGCACTGCAGGCAGGAGGGACCCTGAGAGGGCAGACACAGATTCCCAGCGGAGGCCAAGGTTGAGGGAAGCACAGGGCGAGGCTGTCCCCGGCTCTCTCGGGAACCAAGTCATGAGCACCAAGGTTCACAGATCAAGTTCAATGATGTGCTCATCACAAGCGACTCCCCTGCTCCCTGAAAGGACTTCCAAAGGTCAATTTAGTGTCTCCAAAGCTTCTACGGCTTGCAAACCCGCAACAGGTCAAGTCCAACCAGAGTCACCCTGGGATTTCCCACACAAGCTGACCCCTTTGAGTGTGTAAGGGAGAGATACTGAACTTTCCTTTTTATCAAAAGAATTGTTTTCATCATGGAAATTAGCAGATTCCATCTTTCTCTATCTATCTAGATTGCTCTCAACCTAGAATGTCACTGCCAAGAATTCAGCCTCAAGATACTGAGCAGAGCAGTAATGCAAGTGCGTGCGATAAAGGTGCTAGAAGAAGGAGAATCTGAGACACAATCTAGTGATCGCCGATGGAGACAATCCTTGTTTTAGGAGGGGTGTGTGTGAGTGTGTGTGTGTGTATGTGTGTATACTCAGAAAAACTGACAAAATCTACTGCTGAGTGAAGAAAACAAGCATGTGTTGGTCAACACAGTGTGTGTGGCCGTGATAAACATGTCTCTACGCATCTAACATCTGTGCAAAGACACTCGACACAAACTGCCGCGGCCTCTGGGAAGACCTGCCAGGCCCCAGGTCCTAATGGGTAACACTGACGTTCACTTTCCAATGCTTTATGCTGTTGGAATTCCAGACTGTGGACCTGTTTGAACTTTCCCAAGATACAGAGACAGAACAGGAATGAAGTGAACCTGGTTCCCCGAGGCAGCAGGTTTAGGTCTTGAAGACGCAGGGATGGGCAGGTGCTCATCCCATGTAGGAGATGCTCACCCCATGTGGGAGGACAGACTCTCTGGGGACCAGCAGATCTCTGGGGGCAGTAGGGCAGCCAGTAGAACTGAGGTTGCTAGAAGCTGCCTGCAGACCGGGGAGACAACCTGGGCTATCCCAGTGGCCCATCCTGAGGGTGAGGAGGGAGGCAGGTATGGGTCACACAGGGAGACTCGAGAGCCACAGAGGGCTTGGAGCTGGAGGAGGGGCCATGGGGCGAGATGATAATTGACCCAGGAGCCGCTGGGGGTGAGCACTGCCTGCTGAGCCCCTGTAGCTTAGGACCTCCAGGTCCATAGGTCTCCAGAACTGTGGGACAATGAATAGGGTCCTGTGGTACCTTGTCACGCAGCATTAGGCAGCCAATGCAGCCTAAGCCACCAAGGAAGTTCCCTTAGCAAAGACTGCTGGTGAAGAAGGCAAAGGAGGAGAGTAGGAAAGCCTTTCTCAGCACCTAAAACGCTGCTTCAGAGGCAAGCAAGGCCCGGGGCCTGGCTGACACAAAGAGCCCCTGCTGCAGTGGGGGAGGCGCCAGAATTGGGCTCCAGTCCACCCTGGGCTCCAACCAGCTCCACCTGGAAGAGGTGACTTAGGGCAAGGTGCTCATTTCTCTGATCCTCACCCTCTCCCCAGAGACAGAGATGGTAATAATTAGCTGGTTAACTGACTGGTTGCTGAGACCTTAGAAGAGACTGTGCACAACACGCCGGGTTCCCAGCAGACGCCACGAGGAGAGCTAGTCTCACTGTGCTTTACACCAAAGACATTCAGATACACCAGTCCAGAAATTGTCTGAATTACGTTAGCACTTAGAAGAATGGAACTTGAGCTATTTCACCTACTTATTTTTCAGTGCTCATTTTATAGTTAAGAAAAGGAAGTCCTAAATAAGTTGCACATTAGTCTTAATCGCAAGACTTTTAAAAACTCACCATAATTGTAATTGATAAGTTCTAGAAGCCCTTTTGCACCTTTTCCTTTCTGCAGCATGATGTGTGGAGAATGCATTTGGAAAGCTATTTTTATTAGTGTACATATGTATGGTGTTTTGAAATATGTGCACATTGTGGGATGGCTAGATCAAGCTCATTAACACACACATCACCTCTCTGACTGGTCATTCTGTGGTAAGGACATAAAAGCTATTCTCCAGCAATATTCAAGATGCAACACATTGCTGTTAACGACAGTCAGAATGCTGCACAACAGATCTCCAGTCTCTTCCTTCTGACTAACTGAAGCTAGAGTCTTTACCAACAGCTCCCCAGTGACCCCACGGCAGCTTCTGGAACCACAGTTTCAGCCTCTGCTTCTAGGGATCCTGAGATTCCACAGGTAAGTGGGCTCCTGGGGGATCTGTCTTTCTGTGTCTGGCTTATTTCTCTTAACAGAATATCCTTCTGGTTCATCCAGGTGTTTGCAAATGAGAGGATTTTCAAAGCTAGAATCCCACGGGTATATACACCCATTTTCTTTATCCACTAATCTACGGATGGACAGTGAAGTCAATTCCCCATCTTGGCTGTTGTGAACAATGCTTCAGTGAATGTGGGGTGCAGATGTCCTAAGGAACACAGGGCAGACCCTCTCCAAAAGTGTATGCTGTGGTCTACTCACCAGTATTGCTTACAGTTGAGGGGAAAATGGAAATAGATGCAACCTTTCCTAGCCAACCATACTGTGGAAGACCACTCAAGGACAGAAGGAATGGTCTAAACATCATGTTAGATAGAAACAGATAACTGAATTATGACATGACTGCAATTTTAAAAACACCCACAGTCTGCAGAGTGAGAGCCAGATGGTGGGCTGGAGGAAAAGAGCTAGTCGGATGCCGGGTTTCACTTTCGGAAATCACCAATTCCGTTTCCTCTGCACAAATGCACGCGGGGGCTGCTCCAGCAAGTAGTTAGACTCCTTCTTGATCAGTCACCTGAGCCTGTCGGCTGCCCTGTTAGGTTCAAGCCTGAGCATATTTTCAACAAGAAACACAGGAGGGCTTCATTCACACAGGGGACTGCCAGCATCAAATGTCCTGGAAAGTTATCTCTCACTCGCTGGTTAAGGCCCCTGAAAGGAGGCCAGAAAGCCAGCTGCAGGGTGGCAGGTGTCACAGCCCAAATGAGAACAGCTACAAGGGTCCCTTATTAAACACTCCAGAGACTGACTGCAGTGTGGACAGGCCCAGAGGGAGCAATGAATGTGCCATTTCAAAGTTCACATTTGTACTGTTTTCTGAAATACTACCACTATTCCTGCAGTATATCTGCAAAGCAACCAATGTTGCTAAGGTGCTATCCCTTTGTCTGCATATTTGTTCTAGCGACTTTCTTACCTAATCATGCCCTCAGCAAATACTAATTTTAAAAAGAAAAATGAGCTGGGAACGGAGCTCAGTTGATAGAGTACTTGTCTCACATGCGCAAGGCCCTGGGTTCAATCCCCAGCACCACAAGGGAAAAACAAACAAACAAAAAGTGAACTTGCACTTGTCCAGGTTAAGGTCTTGCTTGTGTTGAATACACACAGCCACACACCCATGGCTTGTTTTCCTCCAGCAATATGTATCAGAAGCTTAGAAATGCCTACACCCTAAGATCACTTTTAGAAAATTCTAAAGTAAGTGAGATGAAATCTTTTCCAAAAGAATATGTAAACATCTGTTCATCAATATACTGTTTATAACTGAGGGGGAAATAAGATGCAATCCTTTGACAACAGAGGCAATGTTCTGATAATATTGTTAGGTAAAAATAAGTAACTAATCTAAAAGTACCATATGACTACAATTTAAACATACACACTGTGCAATATGGTGGGAAACCGGAGCAGCATTTTGAGTATTTCATATCTGCTTAGCCCCTAGTCAGCAGCCCACAAACATCTTCTGAAGGTAGTTGCAAGTTTAGATTGTAAGAATGTATCTTTTTTTGCAAACTTAATTTTTTAATAAAAATGTGAAACAAATAAAACCAAATCACACACAGACTCTGGTCCTTTCTGCCTAAAATCACAGGTGCCACAGTTTCTTCCTTGCCTTTTTATATAGTTTCCAAATCACCTACTAATGTAATTTCAGAAATCAGTGAATGTATATATTTAATAAAAGACTATAAAAGTTTCATGGTGCATGAAGTAGAACTGAAGTCCAGGCAGTTAGTAACAGTGTAGCACCTGCTGATGTGCAGAACTGGCTCATGAGTACTGGGTACTTTGCCTGGTGAAAACTGCATGGCCCAGCAATAGGCTTCTCACAGGCCGGGCGGGCTTCTATTGCTTTTCACAGGTTACACTACCCAGTTTTACTTTTTAAAAGATAGCCCTTGGGAAGGATGATATTTGATTTCCATAATGAAAAAATGAGCAACAGACGAACAAATAAAAGCTGAGCCAAATTTACTCTGAGGGGTGCTGCCTCTGGTCTTAAAATTTGTTAGGTGGTGCAATAGAATTGGTTAATTGATTTTTTCCTCAGGGTTGTCTGGGGGTGGGGGGCTTGAGCCCCACAACTCTTAAGAGAAGCAAACCTAATTTCAGATGTCTTTGTGTTTGTTGAAACAGAGGTCAAGAAAGGTAAAACTGAAAAGAACCCAAGTTCAAAGAAAAAAAAGCATTTTTGACTAAAGTGTGGGGAATAGGTCCTTGCTCATCTGCGTAGAATGTGAACTGGAATAACCTTTCTGGGTAGCAATTTGTCAGTGTCAATCAAAATTTAAAATAATAATAATAATACTGTCCCCTGGCCTACAAGTTTATCTAGGAATTAGTACTACTGATAGCTCTCATAATGAAGTTAAGACATATAATCAAAGGTACTACAACATTGCTTAGAACAGCAAAACTCAGATCTTCAATAAATATGTGCATTCTTACAGTGAAATTCAGGTTGAGTAAGCCTAATCCAAAAATCCAAAATAGGAAATGTTCCAAAATCGGAAGCTTTTTGAAGACTGACATGAAGTCACAAGCTGGAAATTTCCAATTCTGACCTTACATAACAGGTCACCAACAAAAGGCAGGCACACCACAATACTCTACAGAACTACCTTCAGGCCATGAAATAAGGTGTATAGGAAATATAAGTAACTTTTTAGACTTGGGACCCATTCCCCAAATATTTCATTATATATATGCAAATACTCTACAATTTTAAAAAAATCTAAAATCACAAACATTCTGTCCCAAGCACTTCAGAATAGGAATATTCAACCTGTACCAGGCAGCCACTGAGAGGGAGGCTGACATAGTTATGCAAGTGGGGAAGGTACATAAGGAAACATACAGAATAACCTAACTTGTAGGAATAAAATATATTCCACATTGCATGAGAAACAATTTGAAAGAAACACCAGGTATAGACGACATAGACAATACCTCTTGCAGCCAGGAGGATTCCAGATTGGGCTGAAGGGCGTCTGCAGCTAACCATCGGCAATCGCCTCACATGCACCTGTGAGCCAGAGCCGGCACAGGCCTCTCTCTGGCTCCAGGAGGAAGGTTACCCCAACACATTCTGGCATAAACCTCAGACTCTGCTACATCCTACGACACTTAGAAGAGACTTGGGGTCCTACGCTGTTCACAGAAAAGCATTCTCTGGGAATAACACTTTCAGAAGCAGGGTCCCCGCTTCTGAAAAGAAATCACTTCTGACAGTGAGGGGTCCCAGAAACAGGACAGCAGGTACACTCTTGCAGGTTCACGAGCTACGATGCCCATACCAAGACATGCACTGCAGAGGCTGAAGTAGAAAAATTCAAAGACAATTTAAGGTCTATAAATTGAATACTTCAAATCATGGCATTTCCAAGAGACAGAGGAGGTAGAGTTGCTAGGGTTCCCAGGGGTGGAGATGCCCCAACTGTGTGGCTTGAAGGAGGGGCATCTACACAAACGTGCAAAGGCCTACATGGTGGCCAGTATCCAAGAGGGTCACCTCCTTGCATATGCTCTGCCTAGGACCCATGCCATATAGTGCCAGGTAACCAACAGGACTCCTGTTGGGCAGTTTCTGAGGCTGGGTGGTAGAAGACAAAGTGACTACATTTTCTCTCTCTTGGGTTGTTCTCTCTGGGAGAAGCTGGCCACCATTTCTGAGGACACTCACATGTCCCTGGAGAAGTCTCATCTCCTGCCCATAGGTGACTGAGCCGCAGTCATGGATATGACCCTCCAACAGCCCGGGTTAACCCAACAGCCCAGTTTGACAGTAGCACACAAGAGCCCCTAGGACAGAATGTCCAGCCAGGCTGCTGGCAAGCGTGTCGCTGAGAGCAGCTAAGTTTGGAGGTTATGCAATAGTAGGTAACTAACACAGTAGATATATTTCTAAAAGAATGTACATGAAAAAAATACTAGCTGGCTGCCTCTGGGGAGGACAAATGAGGCAGAGGGGACAAGAGGCAGGCAAGAGATTCCCTTTCATGCCACACCCTGGAGTCAGGCCTTACTCCAAGCTGGGGGAATGTTTTGCCATGCATGTTTTTATTTAACAAATAAAAAAGAGCATGAAAGCAGAATGTCCCCATGTGTGGAGACAGCGTCCCAAGAGGCTCAACTGCAGAAGTGAGGAGAACCTCACCTCATCCTTGGCAGTGAAACTTCTGAACACCGAGGAAGCTTCACATATTTTGTGACCAAAAAGTGATCCCAGCATGAGTGCCATAGATAATGGTGGTCTACAAGTGACTGCTGTCCCCTGAAACATACAGCATAAACGGCACCTTCACCAGGCCACCAATTCAAGAAAGTCCTTCCTGGCTCAGCTAACACAGAACACCTGTCCTGCCCCAACTCGGGGCTATGCTCTCAGGGAAGCCATGCAGGCTGGGCGTATTACAAAACCCACCATCTGCAAAAAGGTCAAGACTGAAACAGGAGAAAAGAAGGACAATGTGCACCTCCTCTGGGTGTCCCAGGAAGCAGCCTGCTGGGCTCCCGAGGGGGCAACAGTCTCTGTAGGGACGTCCTGCTGTTGTCCTCACTGGTGACACTGACTGAGAGCTCATCCTCTGCCATGAGGTTAACCATCTGTCACTCTGCATCAGGCAGAGATGTCGATCACTTCTGTCCAGTACAAAAGAGCCCCAAAGCCAAGGGCCCCATGACCTACTGGACCTTCATTCCTTTTGCAATTAACCTAGTGATCTTATTCTGACATTATTTCCTGAATTGCCTGTTTCAACCCAATTCTCACAAGTGGTCTAAATTAGCTTTAGCACCCTCGCGTTTTCCTCATTAATCAATAAGCTGAATTAAAATCTGTCATAAGGACTCATGTGTAGAAAAGATTCCCAAAAGGTACACTTTGAAATAGGAAGTACACATGGAAACAGGATGGCCCTCTTCACAGTAAAGACAGTTTCAATGTCCACTTGTTCTGTGTGGACACAGCGACCACATTTTGGAAAATTGCTCAGAAGAAAAACAAGTGAAGAGTTCCTTGAACTCCTTCCACTTGTGAACTGGATAAACAAGGTGCACCACTGTGCGCATTTCTGGAGTTCCGGGTGCTCTAGGTTTTCAGCATTCCCACTGTTTTACTTTGGAAGAGTGTATTGTCATTTGCTTTTTCATTGCTGTGACCAAAAGACCCATAAACAATGATGTAGAGGAAGTTGGCTCTGAGCTCACGGTTTGAGAGGCCTCAATCTATGGCCAGCCAACTCCACTGCTCTGGGCCTGAGTGAGACAGAGTGCACTGGGGGCAGGGGAAAGCTGCTCAGGACAGGGCAACCAGGAAGCAGAGAGCTCCTCTCACAAGGGACAAATCATAAACCCTAAGACAGGCCCCCACCATGTGACCCACTCCTCCAGCCACACCCCACCTGCCTACAGTTACCGCCAAGCTAATCCATTCAAGTGGATTAGTTCCCTGACTGGGTCAAAACTTTCATAACTGAATCATTCCACCTCGGAACTTTGGTGAATTGTCACACAGGAGCTCTTGGGGGATAGCTCACAGCTAAATCCCAACAAAGAGCAGGAGGGTTACCTTGTAAGAGTCGGCCTCCCCTGTAGAGGTGAAGAGCCAGAGCTGCCTCCAAGTTCTCAGCCGCAATGAGGTCTGAGACTTCAGACGGGCTTTCAAAGTCAAAGGCGTCTTTCAAAATGCACACGTGTCCTGCCGCTTCTAGATGGTCCCTGTGTCAAAAACAGAGAGATGGGGGAAGATGAAGGAATTCGGACATGCCACAGCTCACTCCTGTGATGGGGAGTTTAAGTCAATTCTACAAGTAATTTTTATTTCTGAATTGACCTTTAGAGGAAATCTGCTTTGAAATCGAGAACGCAGCTCAGCGTCGAGGACAGCAGCGTTTGTCCACCAGTCTCTGATACAACAGACTGTAGCCAGGACAAAGGTCAGAGGGCCAGGGCTAATTCAGGCTGGCTTGGCAGACTTCAGACGTGGGGTCCACTCTGCCATCTCCAGTGACATGTGCTGAACAAGAGAGTTCCTTCTCTGTTTCTTTGACTCCACGTGTCACTTTTTTCTCTTGCCCCTTTATTGTGGATTGTACCCAAAATCTGTCTTCAGGCCGCTGTTAGTCACTTCTTAAAAAGGACTTCAAAAGTCACCTATTACCATGACTTCAAAACTACTTCCTGGCCCTTCCCTTCTACCTTCAGAAAGAATCCTTTCAAACACATCTCTTCCTTCTTCCCACTTTAACTCAGTTCCTGGTAACATAAATCATACATGCAGAAAAGAACTGTTCAGGATGATACCAACAGCACAAATGAGAAACTGGGGGGAAAAACTACCATTACAACACATACAAAAGAAAAAAAGCGAGTGGCCCAGGGCGGGACAGAGCTTCCAATCACTCCTGCAAGGTAGGCGGGCCTGCG